GAGACAACAAAGGGAATAGTTATGGTCTGGTTCAGAGCTCCCCTCCCTTCCACCTCCCCACTCCTGAGTCACTTTCTGCCCAGGCTCCGCATCCCTAGCTGGGGACTTTGTCACCCCACAGGGCACCCTGCTGATCAGGTCCTCAGTCTGGGAGAATGAGAACCCCAGCCAGTCCTGGGCTCATGAAACAACTTCAGGGGCCGCTAGAAAGCCACGCTGAGAAAAGGAGGAAGATACACCCAGGCTCGGCCTGCAGGACTCATCTGGGAAGCTCAAGGACAGGCAACAAAGGAGTCTATAGGGCCAGATGGGGTCTGCCAGTGGTGGGCATGAGGGTAGCTGCAGAGGCAGGAGGACGCCATCTGGGGCAAGGCAGACATCACAGGTCTGGACAAAGTGGTAACACAGTGCATATGCATTAATGAAATCCCCATATTAGAGTGCATTTGTTGTCTGTAAGTTCTACCTCATTCAGCTACATGTTCTAAACTCAGGTGAGTTTTCCAAGCAGGCAGAGGACCAGTGCCGGGTGATGTCCAGGAGAGTAAAGCAAGAGAGGCCCGTGTGACTCACATTCACCCTGCGCCTCGCTGCTCCTCTCCCTAACACCCCCACTGCCTGCCAGGGGTCTCCTGCACTCTTCCACCCGGCCCCACCCCACAGTTACCATGAGACTCCAGGTCGCTCCTTCCCCTGTTCACACCCCCTCCAGGAGCCTCTCTCTTTCCTGAGTAGATGCCCAATCCCACCCTGTGGCCTTTGCACTGGCCCTTCCTGTTGCCTGGGGCTCTGTTTCGTGCAGGCAGGGCTGGTCACTATCCCAGTCTCAGCAGAGACCTCCTGACCAGGTCCAGGTGGCATCACCCTTTCTATCCCATACTCTTTTCATCAACAGAGAGACTTAATTTCCTCTGATGTTAATTATTGATCACTATTCACCATCCTCCCACACACCCTAATGCTGGGCTGTGCAGTGCCACAGCCACCAGCCACATGTGGCCACAGGGCGCTTGAAATAGGGCCAGTATAATTGACACCCACTCTAGGTGTAAAAAATACACAGGGAATTTCACACCAGGATACACACCCAAAATAAAATAACCTATGTTATTAATGATTCTTCTTATGTGTTGAAATAATATTTGGATATATTGGTTATAAGAAATATTATAAACATTACCTTCACCTGTTTCTTTTACTTTTGAAATGTGTCTCCAGAAAGTTTTAAATTGCTCCCAGGTTTGTGTCATACTCCTGTCTGGCAGCAGCCCTCTGTAATGTTAGGTCTATGGCTTGGTCACCCAGGCTCAGAAAGTTCAGTTCCTATAAATTTTTTTCACCTGGTGCAGGGGGAAGCGGTGCACAAGTCTGTTTGTTGAAGAATAAGTGAATTAGAAAGGAGAACCCAGAGTTTTTACTCAAATAAAGGTTAATTCTTCTGTTTGAAAAGTCCCCTAGCACAGGGCATGACCTGAGTCTTCTGCAGCCTCTGAATCACAGACTTGCTCAGTGATTTCTAGATCTTGACCAAACGCCGCGGATACTGGACCTCCCGAGACTCCGGAAGGCCAAGACTCCCATCCTTCCCTTTCTGAGGAAATGAAGCTAGGGGGTCGCGTGCTTAGCGCCAGGGGACTTGACATCTCTGGAAGGCAGGGTGACCTAAGCTTGGGAGGAGGGACAGGTTCATGGAGATGAGATGGAGCTGAGGGGATGGAGGTAGAGGGGGTGGGTGTAGAAGGGGTGGGGGAAGAGGGGCCAGGAGGAGTGAAGAGGAAAAGAAGAGGATGGTGGACAGAGACAGGGAGAGGCCAGGGGTGGGTAGGAAGGGAAGACAGAGGAGGGGGTGTGGAAACGAGGGAGGGGCGGCGAAGAAGGGTAGAGCTTGGGCTAAGGGAGCAAGGACAGGAGAGAGGAGGGAGAGGAGGGGCAGGCGAGGCGGTGTCTGGGGGTTGGAAAAGGGGAAATCTGATAGAGGAGAAGGAACCTGAAGAGGGGCCACGAGGGGCCTGGAAGTGGAGGCTGGAATGGTCTGGGATGGATGGGGAAGAATGGGGAGGATAGGAGGGGCAGGGGAGGCTGGGAGGAAGAGAGCAGGTGAAGGAGGAGAGGGAGGGGAGGGGATGGATAGGAGGCCAGGAGCTCGGGAGGCAGGAGGAGCGGAGGCAGGGAGGGGGAGGCGGGAAGGGGAGGAGGCCGGGAGGCTGAGGAGGAGAGGGGACGATGGGGAGGGCGTATCGATGGGGAGGGCTACGAGGCCAGGATGGCAGGGGAGGCAGGAGGGGAGGAGATTGGTAGAGGGACCGGGAGGCGGGGGAGAGGTAGGGGAGGGGGGTGGGAAGGGAGAGCGGAAGTGGGAGGGACTCAGGCGTTCCGGAAAGTGCTGAAGCGCAGGGCGCGAGGGGCGGGGAAGGCCAGAAGGGATAAAGCGCGCGTGAGTTTCGCCCCGCGGTGCTCACGGCCTGGATTGTACTTGGGTCCTCTCTCGGTAGCCTGGCCTCCGCCTGCGCTCCCACTCCGTGTCGCGCGCTTAGCCGACAATGGCAGGGCTCTGCGCGCCTCGCGCTGCCCTGCTGGCCATCCTGGCCGTGGTTTCCGGCAGTGAGCCCGCGGCCGGAGCGAGTCCCGGAAGCCGCCGCGCCTAGTGGGCGGCCCCTATGGACGCCAGCGTGGAGGAGGAGGGTGTGGTGGTGCCCTGACTTTGCCGTCAGCGAGTACAACAAAGCCAGCAACGACATGTACCACAGCCGCGCGCTGCAGGTGGTGCGCGCCTGCAAAGCAGGTGCGTGCCGCCCCCGCAGGGTCCTGAACCCTGGCCCCGCCGCCTCAGCCTGCCCCGCGCCGCTCCCCGGACCCCGCGCTGCTCCTTCCCCGGCACCTGGGCTTTCACCAGACCTGTTCCCGGTCTTCGCTGTCACCCTGGAGCCCTTGGCGGGCGCGGCCTGCGAATGCCCTGAGTCTGGTTCGGCTTGGAACCGCAAGGACACGCCAGGTCCGCGCCCGGCGCCTGAGATTCGCTTCCAGGCGCCAGCTCGATGGGTGCTGGCAGCGCGGGGGCAGGCACAGACGTCCCACCCAACTCCCGTCCAGGCCTCTTTGGGACGCGGGGTTCTCGGTGCGCTGCTGAATACGCAGGAGAAGTAGAAAACAGAGCCCTCATCTGGCTACCTCCTTGTTCTTCCGCCAAATAATTTTTAAACACTTCTAGTTTAACTTTTATTCTCACATAATTTCTGACTTACAGAGCAGTTGCAGAAATAGTACAGGCATCCCCAGATCTTTCACCAGATCCCTCTGATGTTAGCACGGTGATGTTAACATTTTGCCGTTTGTTCCCCCCCAGCTCACTTTCTCTGAATGAATATGGGTGTGTGTATATGTACTGTATATGCATTTTTTTGCCTGAATCTTTTGAGAGTAAATACTTCAGTGTGTTTTTCTCAAAACAAGGGCAGTATCTCACATAACCACGATTCCATTTTGAAAATCAGCACTGACACATTCATGGTCTAATGCTCAGACTCCATTCAACTTTCCTGACTGCTGACGGGCTTCATGCTCTAGGACGCTCCCGGACCATGAGTACATGAGTTCAGTCCTGTCCTGTCCCCTCTGCCTCTTTTCACCTGGCAGCAGCTGGCTGGTCTGTACCATGACTGTGCCATTTCCAGGATCCAGCAGGTGGGTGGAGACTGTGCTGGACTCTGGGTGGGCTTGGTGCTGGTCAGACAGAGCCAGGCCATGAGCCTGCCCTCCCGGAGCCCTCCATAGGGGCCACCTGAGCCTGGCTCCTTGTCCTGCAGAGCCTCACTTCCCCTTCCCAAGTCAAGGCCCTGGGCACAGCCCTCTAGGACTAGGCCTTCACCTGCTGCAACTGACCACCCCCTACAGCCCAGGCAGCTGAGTTCCCTGCTGGGTGGGACATGCCTGACCTCTGCTTCTACTAGCTGATGCAGAGTTAGACTCAGCCAGATGAGGACAGCAGTCACCAGCAGAGCGGAGTAGTCAGATCGAGGGAGCTTCCAGTAGGCTAGCCGGCAGGTCCAGCTTGACCTGCATCCCATGGCAGAGCAACAGCAGACACAGACTTTAGAGCTCCTCCACCTTCTGTTGGAAATTCAGGAGGAGTTCAGACCCAGCCCCGCTTTCCTCCTGCAGCCGCTAGCTGGGGCCTCCCTGCTCCCCTGGTGTAGGGGTCCAAGGGCCTGTACTCTCCTCCTCACTGGGAGGAAGCACAGGGCATTGTAGGACCCTGGAACCTATTTTACAGAGCAGCAGACTGACACCGGAGGACTACAGGACTTGCATGGGTTCTACAGGACTTGGTGTGTGGCTCCACAGGGCAAGGTCTAGCACCCTGGTCCTAGGGTCTCATCCCATGCTTCTCCACAGTTCTCACAAGTCATGTCTGGGGTAATTGCAGTAGTAAAAGCATTCAGTTCTCTTCTGAAGTTGCAACCATAAGACTCACTTTAGAAATACTGCCTCCAAAATCACACCTGGAGTGGAGGCATGTGGAACAGTTTATTGGCCTAAACATCAGACGTATGAGCATCTCATCTCCTATTGATAAATGAGGAAAATACCTCTGGGTTAAATGAGAGGAATGAGATGCTCTGTGAACTGAATGCCAGGAACTGGAAGTTTGCCAAATTCCCCATCAACACATGAGAGCCTTCCCTGAATAGAGGAATCCAGTGTCCCTGCCTCAACAGGTAGCAGAATTCAGCAATCCTGGCATTGGCATAGAGAAAACGAGTTACCAGGGAGGCCTGGGGCATGGGTATCCCTGCCAGCTGGCAGGTGAGGAGGTGGCTTGTGTGCCTTGCAAGTGACAGTGTGGGTAGCTCAGAAGGTAGGCTTGAAGCTCCCAGGCAGCTCAGTGACCCAGTCACAGTGAAGTGCCTGTGTGTAAGAAACTGACAGAGCGCAAGGTCCCTGTCTCCTGCTTCTTTTTCACATGTGTAGATCGTAGGCTGGGGTGGAACTACTTGACGTGAGTTGGCCACGCCAACCACATGTACCAAGACCCAGCCCAACTTGGACAACTGCCCCTTCCATGAGCAGCCACATCTGAAGAGGGTAGCCTCATGCCCTCCCCTCCTCCTCCCCAAGATAATGTAATCAGAGGTGGAAGAAAAGATGTACATGTTCTGGAGGGTATAAAGGCAGGGCCTGAGTGTGTGTACGTATGAGATGCACATGTGTTTTCCATGTATAGGTTTGTGGGAGGTCACAGGAGTGTAAAAGCAGTGGGTGTGTGGATGCTGGGAGGTGTGGGGTCTATGCATGGATGTGTGTGGGTGTGTGAGTGCGCATGCGTGTGCACATATGTGTGGGGTTCTGTGCGTACATGCTGTATGAGGAAGTGCCTGCACTGTGTGTGTACATGTGGGTAGAGGTGTGAGGAGTATGTGATCTGTACGCATAGATCCGTGTGGGTGAGGGTTGGGGTGAGTTCATGAGGCCTATGTAGATGGGGCAGGTGGAGAGGGCTGATAATCTGATTTGCTAAGAGGGCTTTAGCTTGGGAATGGGGGTATTGGGAGCCTCACCCTGTACTTTGGAGTGTTGCCTGCTGGACTGCAGGAAGCAGCTGCAGGGCTGGGTGCTGTGCAATGGAGAAGCCAGCTCTGTCTAACCCCAGCCTCAGGCACCTGCCCGCAGCCACAGCCACGCTGAGCAGATTAGAGGGTACTAGAGGCCTGTTAGCAGCCAAACCCTCAGACCTGCCCCCAGCTCACTCCAACACCAGCTTCTCCAAGGACCCAGGATTTCTTGTATGCCTCTTCTGCTCAGGGAGAGTCACATGCTCCTTGTCATCTCCTCGCCACCCCAAGCACTATGAGTTGCAATTTCCAGTTCCCTGGTTTCTTCCCTCTGGCCCCTCTTAGTGCTGACCTGGGTGCTGAAGGTGGTAGGAGCTGGGGGCGGTGAGCTGCCTCCCTGCTCTGCACCTTAGGGCTCCCGAGGCCTCGCACAGGCTGCTCCTCATAGGCTGTGCTGGGGTGAATCCTGCAGGTTGAGGTGGGGCCCAGTGCCACCTGGTGGAGCTGAGCCCTGGGAGAGGATGAGCAGCCACTGCCCAGTCCAGCAGTGCTCTGGGATCAGCAGGTGGGTGAGGGTAGGTAAGGGCCAGTGTTTCACCTCCATCCTTCACTCCCACTCTGATGTCCTGTGCCTGGGCATCCTCTGCTTTGAACCGTAACCCACACTGATTGTCCCCTCTGTTTTCTTTCACAGAAAGCATTCTGCTCTTTCCAGATCTACACTGTGCCTTGGCAGGGCACAATGACTTGCCGGGGGTCCACCTGTCAGATGCCTAGGAGTCTGTACCAGGCTGGCCTGTGCCTAATACCTCTTACGCACACCTCCCACCCCCTGTATTCCTCACCCTGGACTGGTGGCCCCGCCTGGGGAAGGTGTCCCATGCGCCTGCACCAGGAGACAGAAAAGGCAGCAGGCAGTCTTTGTTACTCAACAGGCGCTCCACCCTCCCTCCTTCCTCTTCTTGCTTCTCACAGCCCCGGTGTGCGTGCATATGTCCCCACCTCCTCCTGCAATAAAACAGCAGCACCGGCTCTCTGGAGTTCTGGCTGTCTGGGGATGTGCACACAGGCAGGGTTTCCACAGTTCCTTTATGAAGCCTCCTGGCCCTGCTGGTGGAGATCAGGAGGAGTATCTGGGAGCTGACACAGCCACAGCAAGGCTGTCAGGGAGTTGCTATAGGAGACCTGAGTCTCACAGGGAGAAAGCATCCAGGACTGGGAAATCAAAGATTCAGCCACAGCAGCTCCCGTGAGGGGTCTAGAGAGCAGGGTGCCCAGGCTGCTGCCTTGGGCTGGACTGGTGTTGATCTGAGCTCCTGGTCAGACCAGGAGGAGGGGCTGGCTGTGTCTGACAGGCAGGGGCCAGGCCTCGTGAGCTCGGCCAGGCCGTAGGGTTCATCTGTGCTTGCAGAGTTGAGCAGACTCCAGGACTGAGCTGCTCTCATCAATCCCCAGACCCTAAATAGATAGTGATCGATGTGTGCCTTTCCTCCCAAGAGACTTAGGCCCCCTAGCATGGAAACAAAGTCCAAAAAGCCTGTGTGTGTAATCATGGAGAATGTCAACCAGACCAGAGACCGGCAAGATCACCCAGAGAAAGCAGCACCTGCTGTCATCCATCCTGGGAGGCGGTCCTCAGAGAGCTTTACAGGCTCATGGCCACCAGCCCTTTCTCTGGACTTGGATTTAAAACAAGCAGTCTAGCTTCATGGTAGGGATGAAGTTAAAGCACAAATGAGACTGACAATGCAGTGGACTCTTCTTTTTCCAAAGATTGAGAGAGAACATTTCCTTCGTGTCAGCATCATCCTATAGAATAGTGGATCTTTGCCACAAGCAGGAGGCTACAGTCCTAGGACACAGCCCACCCTGCATGGTCCTTCCCTTTGCCATTTCAGGACAGGCAGCCTCACAGCCAGTGCTGCTAGGCAGGGTTCCCAGGTACCTTCCAAGCTCCAAGCTGCACTGACGCCCTCTTTTGGCCACTGCCATGAACACTGAAGGTGAAATGACGAAAATCCATCCCAGTAGCCCTAAGGACATGCCATCCCTGCAAAGCCAGAGCAGGGCCACGCGCAAGGAGAGTGGGGGAGCATCTGCTTCCATTTCTCTCCACCCTGATCACATTTTAACAGGTATTTGGGGGTGAGGAAAGTGTAATAACGCCTCGAGGCCATAAGCTGAGGAGATTTGAGTCTGACTCACCCTGCTGGGGGGCAGACTTAGTGACTCAGCTTCTGTTGTGGGATTGTGGGATAGAAGTGGTGGTTGGGGCCAAGGGTAAAGGGTCCTGCAGGGAGGTGCTCCTGGCTTTCTACCTGGGGTAAATGATCTCCCCGTGACACAGACACCACCATCCAGGCACACAGTGAAATGAACAGCTGACTGTGTAGCCCAGTCCCTTTTCAGACACACTTCTTCCCTGGGGAAGTTGAGGTGGGGGTGGGGCTGGACAGACTCCCCTAATCTCCTGTGCATAGCCTCCTCCTTCCTGCCCTCCAGCCGCTGGTCTCATGGCCCACGGCCGACAGGGAAGCAGGCGATGCCACGCCGTCTCCCTCCTCTGCAGCCATCAGGGTTTTGTAAATGCCTCCCCGGACCCCCATGAGGCCAGTGAGCCAGAGCCCTCTGACTCCAGAGGTTACTGTGACTAGCACATCCTGGAGAGGAGACTTCACCCTTGCACCTTTCATCTGCAAGAGTTACTTTTACATTTACTCTAAAAGTTGGTTTAAGTATATACTTCACCTACAGTTATCCATATAAATAGATTCATTACAGGGCTCGCTCTGAATAACAGTGTTGAGAGGCTTTTTCATTGATCTGGTTCCACACTGGTGCTTTATAACATGGTGCTTTTGACACTCTTGCATTGTGATGCTGGTGAGCGTCAGGCGGGATCAGAAGGGCCCAGTAGCTTCCAGCTCACTAGCATTCTTGCCCTGAAGGAAGCCAGCGCCTCTGCAGAAGGATCCTCTCTTCCCCAGGAGGGGTCAGCCTGGCAGGGTGTTCCTTGATGGCAGCTCAGCCACTTCTGCCCTCAAAGTCCAAGGGAGCTGAGAGGCCAAAGAAAGGCTGACAAGTCTAGTTTCTTAGAAAGAAAGTTGTAACAGGGCTTGTGAGCAGGCCACATTCCGCGTGGCCATTGACAGTGGATCTCATCCCGTTACCTCAGACCCTGGGCTTGTGTGCCATAGGGAAAGTGGTATAGGAGCTTCAGGAAATGAAACTTACCTAACAAGGGCTGGATTTGCAGCAAACAGCAGATGAAATAGAAGTCTTAGAAGCATTGATGGAACTGAGGCTCAGCATTGGCATCCAAGATGGAGTGGCCTTAGCCTCCACAAGAGACCTCCCAGAGCCGCTCCAGTTGACAGCCCACAGCAAGTTTCCAGCACCATAGGTCAGTTTCAGGATCTCAGTCCTAAATCTGCCATGTGCTTTTCCATTTTTTTTTAATTACTCCATTTTAAATACAATATTTTTTATGTCTTTAGGTAAGAACCATTTTCCATTCTGGGTTTATTCTTTATTCCCCCAAAATTTTGTTTTCTAATGTGTATTTGCCCTCCAAATGAAACTGTTTTCTCAGGTTCAATAAGTAGAAATATGATTTTTAGGAAAAAAATTGGACAACGTTGAACATTTGAGTCTTTCATTTTAGGGAATACCATGCATCTTGCAATACATTCTGCTTTTCTAATGGTCTTCAGAGAGTAAATTTTATCCATCTTTTGTATTTTCTGTGAAATTTAATCCTGGATATTTTATATTTTGGTCAGGAATATTTCCAAGTATTGTACCTCTGGTCTTGCTGGATAGGATCACACAGTTTAATAGAAAACTATTGATTTTGCCTGTTTTATTTTTCCTCTGCCTTGGTGGTTTTTTAAAGACTTAGAGGCTTTGCATGCTGCCGCCCTTTGGATGCGTGAGACAGGGAGTTGGCTTATGACTGCCAGGCGGGAGTGACTCGGATCAGGCCACAAGCCTCCCTGAAAGATGCAGAGAGACCAAATCGCCAGCCCTGTCCCATAACTCCAGGGTGAAGCTGCAGAGATAAGGCCCAGGAAGACGATCCACTCTAGTAACCCCAAGGCTGTAGCACCCTGCAAAGCCAGAGCAGGGACACGGCAGGGAGAGTAGGAGCATCTTCCTACCTCATACTCTGGTTGTGCTGTCTGAGTTCATTGCTCGAACACACAAAACTGAGAAGCCATGAACAAAATGGTGAATAAAATAGGAACAGTCATTCCTTTAATTACTGTATACCAAGTTCTTTTCACCCTTGGCCCTGAGATGCCAAGTGGGTCACTTCCAAATCCTGTCACCTGAGGCTTATGGGGTCAAGCCAGATGCCTAGGCCACTGTGGCATCAGCTGAGGCTCTGGCTCCCTCGAGACCAGGTCAGGCTCATCTGAACTTTAGTCTCACGCTTGGCTGTACACGGCGCCACTGGGGAGCCTGGCTGCACGTGGCAATCCCATGATCCCATTCGGAAAAGTTGATTATGTTCTGGGATGACGGAAATACTGGATGCTTCTAAATATCCTCCCATTGCTTCCCAAGAAACCACTGAACTAGAACTCACCAGAGTCCCGGTCAAAGCCCAGTTGCTGCGAAACATCTGCAAATTGCAGCAGGTAAAGATATTTTGAGGGTCACATCTGCCTGTGGACACACCTTCCTTGCCAGGTTCTGCAAGTGTAGCCCAGCCCCTGATTTGTAGTAATGAAACACAATAAAGCAAAGCAAATGGAAATTCTTCCATCAAGGTTTGTTTGGGGGCCATGAATTGTTGGTGATTTTGTGAAAATCACCTCCTGCCCTGTGGAAAAGTAACCCCACTTCTCTTCAAACCCAGCACTAGGTATTTCTGTCCTTGAAATGCCCTTGGCTTCCCTCCCAAAGGTAGTTGCCACTTGACTTCGCATTCCACCACCCACCAGTCACTGGCCTTCCAACGGGCCTGCCCTTCACCGTGGCATTCCCCATCTGTCCACAATTAATTTTCCCCACTGCCCTCAGCAAGTCCAAAAGCTCCTTTGTGGGGCAGAACAATTCAGCTCTTTGTAGACTTCCCCACACCCATCAAGGTGCTTATAAAACAAAGGCCTTCCTAGTGAACATCAGGACCAATTCTCTTTACAGGGACTTTAGATCACGAATAGCAACAGTTATCTATTTATCTGTTTATTTTACCCAAATCCAGGACCCTGAGGAACAGACTGAGGAAAAATGCTGCCTTTCCCGAATGGCTACTACAGGAAATGATGCTGGAAGTGTTTACTCCTGCAGGCTCTGTGCCTTTCTGACTGGGCAGCTCATGCTGTATGCATGGAGTATCACTACCAAACACACTCCGAGGCCAGCGGGTCAGCCCAGCGTCTGACTCCACAAGCCATGACTGCCCACCTTCTTACAACAACGATAGCAGTTTCTCCATGAGGATCCACCCCCTCCTCTCACCCGCCTCTGTTTCCAGGAAGCTGTCTCTACTGTTTGACCACAGCTTGGAGCACTTGACTTTGCCAAACTGGTCAGGCAGCGGGTCTCCTCCCTGAAGCCTCAGTGATTGGCGTGAGGACAACGGTGACCTATGTGTGGCCGCCTGGGACTCCAGAGACTTAACGTGGGATTTTTGTTTGACTATGGATGGTGGGTTCTTCCCTTCCCGCTGAGTGTAAAGATAAAAAGACATGAGGTCTGGGGCCCACTTGAGCCTGTTTGAGAATGGAAGCCAA